TCTGTATCAATAAACTTCAGCAGCCAAATACAGATAAATGAATGGAGTCGTAGGGAGAGAGGCAGCAAGCCAGTGTGGCTGCTTTGATTAGATATACACCAAGAATCTACTGGTCTTACCACATTGTCATATCTCATACATACTACACTTGGTAAATGAATCTTATACTTTCATGAAATTTAAATGGGTAGTCAGTATTACATTCCTAAAGAAATGTTTCAGCAAGGTAAATGCTTGAGTTTTGTCAAACCTTGGTGGTGGTTTCATGTGGTTTTACTTACATTGCTGTTGGCCATATTTCAATCCTTTATATTTGAAATAAATTGCCCACCTCATAGATCCATTATTTTCCATCTGTTTCACTGTGGGAGAAAATATTAACTTGCACATTTCTTTAACTTAGATATATAATCCATCACAGTGAACTCAAGGTCTGAGTTGTTAGCTTAACAAAAATTATGTAATTTCTGTAAAAGTGCTGAAAAGAGACGTTCTCAATAAATTGTCCAATTGGCCGCCCATCCAATGACACTCCTGAGAGTTAGCCAGTGAATTGCATTGCTATTACGTACTATGTCAAACCAAATCCAGCAGACAAGCAAGACAATGGTGTTGCGCAAATCCTGATTTTCTAGCATTAAAAAAAGGCTGCTGCAGTTTGTCTCAGTGTCATGCGTCAATACTCACAAACCTCTCCTGCAACAGCCAAAATACTTTTTTTAGGGTGATACTGAAAAACAGCTGCAAAATAACTAGCTAGTGTTTAACAAAAAAAGATTCCTGAAATGTATTCATAACAAAGATATAACTGTTACTACCTTTTTAAAAAAAAGAGCAACACTGAGCAACACTTTGTGCTAAGCTAACAAATCAGCAGCGTGAGCTTAACGCAAAAACTAAAAACAAGAGGAAAAAGCTAACCTGACACTCGTCATGTCATCTAAAAGCAACTTTAACACACATGTTTTTATTTATTTCATGTTAAAACTGAAATGTAAAATTGTATCTTAAGCAGGTATATTTCTTTCACAGGAGAATATAATACCTAGCTTAACGGCCTTAGCAGGTCAAAGTAGCAGGAAACGTATTTACAGTACAAAAATTAGTGTTATCTTCACACCTCTCTGCTCAGAGAGGAAGCAAGGGTATCAGATATGACAAAAATGTTATATTTGAGACATATTTGCCTGTACCAAAATATATGTACGTGATAAGCTAATATGGAGCGATAAAATCAGCTAGTGGTTTAACTCTAGGTCACAGCTATGAATTACCTATGTTATGTTTTGCTTGAAAAATGACAATCTCTGGAGAGAAAAGGTATATGCTAAAAAATTCTGGTATGTTTCTGAAAATGTTATGCAGCAATGTAAAGTGAATGTGATCTGTAATTGCTGACTGAAATGAATATTTTATTTTGCAAGTCATACACGACCACAGATGCAGCTTATTAACTTAAATTCTTACTCCTCTCACTCTTTGACAGATGGGATTCTTCCGTCGACGCTACAGAGAGATCATTGAGGCTGAAAAGAACAGAAAGGACAGTGATGAAAGCTGGGACTGGATGGATAAGGACCACTGAGACTTACAACGGGAGTCCCAGAGGAGCCAGTGAGATTAGGGATTCGGTTGCGAAAGATCCAATAGCACAGGGTCTCTCAGCCCAGCCGCCCCCTGTGGCATTGGGCCCTTCAGTCTTCCATATGTGGAAGAGAAGAATATTCTCCATATTTTTTGGAGACTTAATATTTTTGGGGGGAGGAGGGAGGGAGTCCAGGAAACAGGCTTCTGAGGTGACAAGGTGGCTTGCCAGCGGACACTTGCTGTGGAATTCAGCTAATCTCAAAGGAGGTATCACCCAGCCAGCAGAGCAGAGCTGTTGATGGAGGCTCACATCCGTACAGGGATGTGGAGACGGCATGAATACTGGTGGACAAGAAAACCCTCAGGGCTGTGTTACATAGCAAATTTATTTTTATACATATACTTTAAGCCATATTGTGTAAAAGTGAGCTTTGAAAAGAGTTGGGGTTTTGAATGCCATTATAAACATACTATATCTACGGTATGTTTTCTTAAAAGCACTGATGTTTGATAAGAATGAATGCCTTGGCCCCTTAGCTTTATTTTTTGTGCCAAAGATATGTCCAGTAGAGTATATGATTGGAATCATTTGTATATTCAGTTCATCCCAGATGCTGGGAGTGAAAGATTGTATCTTTTCTGTACTATTGCTGGCTGATGAAAATCTGTTTTACACATCTGATTGCCCATCCCCTCACATTTCTAATCAGCCAGAGCTAATTCTATGCTACAGTACCCGCACACTGTCCCCATGCAATGCACTAGTGTTTCCATTTGTGACACACTGTGAGGGCTCTCTCTGTCTTCATGATGACCGCTTTTTTCATGTTTCCATTGTTAACCATGCCTAAAATGCAAAAGATGGTTAAAAGATCATTCCTTTTGTTCTGGTCTGGCTTTCAGCTGATTCGCTGGTAGATGATAATATACAAAAGCTATTATTTCATAGATTAAACTTAAATCTTTATTCTTTAAAATGTTTCAAAATACCATGAGTTTTGAAAGTGGAATGTATAGTCAAGCAAATCTGACGTAAAGCTGCTTTTGGTAGGAGCAAAAACTGCTCAGGTATGCAAGGAGACTTTTATAATGGACGGCCAAACCTCCCAGGCTCGAGTGAACATAGTTTAGCTGAATGTCTTGTAAATTCTCACTGAAATACAGCAGAAAAGGATTTACTATTGTTCTTGAAATACCTGATCACAATTTATTTCCAAAACCTTCTCAGACTTTACCGGAGCATACCATTTTTAAGTTTACTGTTATGTTATCAGGCATTGGATTATAGTGCGAAATATGAGATATGTTGCTCTCCACAGCCAGATGAAAGACTGCAATAGGCGTCTACCTACAGTCATTTATAAGGGCTCGTGGTATGAGTAATGCCCTAAAAATAGGTGAGAATATGCTGCACTCAATCACTACACATACAGTATACAAGCTCTTTGGGGCTCCTGGGAAACGTTACTTTTAAGCCAGGGTTGAGAGATGTCAGTGCCCTGAAAAATCTGCCACCATACGAACCCACAGCTCCTCTCTGCTAAACCTTTTTCCCCCCCCTACAGGATTGTCGGTTCTTTTAAATGCTAGATTTAATTGTGATTGAAATAACATATTAGCAAATTCTGTATTAAAGCTCCCCACAAATATATAAACAGTGAGAAAATTAAAATGTGGTAATATGGGAATCGCTGGTGCCTTGGTCCCCCTGCTTCTGGCACCTGTTGCTCAGTACTCATAGGTCATACCCTACCCATTTTTGAACTTTGTTTTGATGTTAACTGCAAAGTTTTGTGTGTCTGTACTTTGCACATTTGCAACCCTATCTAGTTGAACAAACAGATAAATTCATGTAATCTTAAAAAAAAAACCAAAAACTTTAATTATGCTCCAAAAAAGATTCAGTTTAAGAGTCAAAAGCTTTAACAATCAGCATTGGGTGATACGATTTACATTAAAATAGATATGCAGTATATAAGTATAAAGTACCTTTTGGTAATTCCTTTAGTAGACCAGTCAGATTTAAACGTGCAATGCCAAAGAACTAAAACTTTATCGTCACTTTATTGATCACTATGATTGCTTCGCTCTAAAATGTGCTGTATAGATCTTCTGACACCATTTACTTCCACTGGTAACACAGCGTATACTGTACACATCCACGCCTTCCCTCTGCATCTGTTAAACCGTTGCTATGTATTAATGCAGAGAAAACAACACTTGACTTTTTTTTTTTTTGGTAAAGTTTAACTGTGATGATTATACTTTGTTTTTATGTTTGTCACCTTTAATCGCATCGTTATTTGGGGTTTTGTTCTGAGTATACTACTGTCACTGAATATCATTTCCATTATAGTGTGCTGTACGTTTGATGTTTAAAATCATGTTCCAGCTGTATATTTATCTGTTGATGAATTTTAGAATGAAGTCTCTTGTTATCAACGTGGCTCCAGTGTTTGCTGCTTATTTGTGGTGAATGGTGCTCTCTGCTGGCAGCTTTTCTTCAGTCGCACCAAACAAAATTCAACAATGGGGAAAAACACAAAACTGCTTGTTCAGGTTTTTAGAAAATGCAATTTGGGGGGAAATACTATTAAAAAAATATTTTAATAAACTTTTCACTGATCATTTACACTAAGTACATGTGTAAGTAGATGTTCTTAGATACATTAGAGCTGAAATAACAACCAGTCCACAGAAAATGACCATTCTGATCAGCTAAAAATCCCCAAAATGGCAAATATATATTTATATTTTGATCTTGTGTCATTGTGAATTAAATATCATTGATTTTTTTTTCTTTTGGGCTACAGAACTTTATCTTTATTTTAAAGGGATAGGGTGGATTCGTTGGGTGCTGATGACTTTTTATACAAATGTATTGATACAGTATGATGGTGTAATATCATGAGTTTTAGAAAACACTACCATTTAACCTGAAAGTATAAAAAAATCCAAATTAGCCCATATCTTAAGCACTGAAAATAATGTGAATGCATTTTAAAGAAACCCTGGTCAGAAACAACATGTTATGTACAATATTCAATGTTTTAATGTCCTCTTTCTATTTTGCTAAGAGTTTTCCCATATCTTCTTGAAGATCCTAATAATTTGCTACTATACTTTCACTGACCATGTGCCAGAAAACTGTAAAACTCTCTTTAAAAGTTCAACCACACCTAACAAAGCATTATCTCAAAGAGTATGGCAACTAATCAGTCAATACATTAAAGCTTGATGAAGCTGCGTGCTGTTGATCAGGTGACACCAGTTGCTATGAAACACTGAAGTCAACAAGCTGCTGTGGTGAGCAAATCAATTATTAAAAAAGCTACCACGCTAAATACAGCAGGAATACAACAACATTTATGGTACTCGCTTTCTTTTGACCAGAGAGAATCAGTCTGTTAACTATGTCCTCATTGTTCGATCATGGGTTGATCAGGACTGTAGCAGTTGAGCAGGTGGTTGCACCAATTGCAATTCATATATGCCGCCTGGTGTTGCTGTGTGACAGCGCAGAGGAACCTGAACAATTCAGCCAGCTGGAGGGGGCAGCTCAGACTGTGGCTAAAGCTACTGAGAACATGGCAGCAGTGGCTTCCAGGTATGTACTGTTATGAAAATCATAATGTATAATACTTCAAATGAAGCAATAGCCTGCAGAGAGGAAAAAAGTATCTTTCAATTTAACCTTTTCTTGTAATTTCCTGCATCTTTGGAGCTAAAAGAGGCCACCCAAACACATAAGATATCAATGGAAAGGCCAGGATGTCCTCTATTGGGGACATCAGGACTTAGAAGGGTAGCTCAAATAAGTCACAAGATATAGACAAATGTCCATTACACAGGATCTAAATGAATAAGCTGGCTCTCGGGAGGATATAAGAAAATGAAATTTAATTATTTAATCTGTATGAAACTGAAATGTGTAATACAACCCAAATTGGGAAAGAGTTAGAATACTTATGTAAGAGAATGCAGAGATTCACAAATCTCAGGCATTATTCACAATAGAACATAGAACACAAATTAAATGTTTGAACTGAGAAAAAGGACGACTTCAGGAAAAACATTACCTCATTTTGAATTTTATGGATGCAACATGTCTCAAAAAACTGGGATGAAGGCAACAAAACAGTGGAAAAATAAGTGGTACTCAAGGGACATTTTACAGTTAAATAGATAAACTGGCAACAGGCCTGTGACATAAATAGGCATATGTTTTGTTTATTTAAAAGGGAAAATGTATTTTCATTCATTTGAGCACTTAAATTCATCTTGTAAAAATGCCAGATTTAGAGTGGCTGGGTTTCCCGACTTTGGATAAAAATAAGAGGCAGGAACATGTAGACTAATCATGTGGACAAATCAACCCCAACAAACACCGTGCTATGTGATTTAAACACTTTCATAATTAAAGAAGAAACCATTTAACAACAAAGTAATGTCTTTTGTGTTAACTAGTTTTTTAAAAACATGATTACAAAACAATTAAAATTGAAAATAAATAAGTTGGTCTGCTGGTAGTGAAACACAGGCTCCTCTGGTGGAGGGGACCTCAGAAAATAGCAGCTGTTAATGGCTTTTTGAACTGGGTGGAGGTGTTAACAATCCACATGAGGACTTCAAAGATCTGCTCCAGTCTAATCTTCATACTGGGTATTCTACAAACACAGCACTGCAACTTTAGACTTTAGACACAAGGTTGGACAACTTGAGTCATTTTTGTTTTGCTTTTGTTTTATTTATTTGTTTTTATTTTGTTATGGTTTTTTAATGAAGGCAACAGATTTTTTTTAGCATTAAAGTGTGGGGCAGTGATGCTAGTGTTAGCGTTGTTAGCATATTACCTTCAAGAGGCTAGCGGAGGATCAGGGCTTCATTTTACTGCAAGGTCCCGTCATATTCTTCTTATACCTGATTTAATCATCTAAGACATTTTAAGGAAGTGAAGATCAAGTTAAAATGTCCTTGTGTACCACCAACATTTCCTTTAAAGCTCTCCTTAGCAGTAGCAGTACTACTGGGCCAAACACAGAGAAATCCAGGTGGCTAGCCCTTCTCCTCTAGCCAATCAGATGGCTCATTTCCACTGTTCCTTTTAATTAAATTCTTTTTCCATTTCAAGTATTTATTGATGGCTTAATAATTAATTTAGAATTATTAACTTACCTTTTGTTGTCTATTAAATCATTTAGTAAGATGTAATTATTAGTGAAGACTTAATTATTTCATAAATACTTTGATAAATGAATATTTTATTTCATTATTAATTAATAATTCATGAACAGCTCTAATTTGATGTGCATCACTCTCCTTTATGATCCTCTATCATTTTTCTCCCAAAAATAAAGAGAAACTTCTATCAAACGATGATGGGCAAACGTGTCTCAGCTTAAACATTTTATTTTTTTATGTCTTCTATTATCAATAAATGTGAGTTTGTGAGCTCTGTAAATAATTGCCTTTTGTTTTTATTTACTGTTTATACAGCATCCCAGCTTGGTTGGAATTGTGTTTGTATATATTATCTGATGAACAGCAGACTCTTTACTTCTAGGCAAATACGTGAGACGGAGGATGAAGTTTTTCACATGGAGATGTCCTCCCTGCTAGAGTCATTCGCTGTGTGTGGGCAGCATGTCCTGCTGGCAGCTCAGAAACTGAGTATCCAGCCAAGTTTAACTGAGCACAGAGAAGAGCTCGTCACTGCTACACAAAACGTTTTCCTTGGAATAGTCAAGGTAAAGTAAAAAAAGAAAAAAAAAAGCTGTCTGCAACTGTCCTAAAAATTATACCCAAATTAAAGCAGAGAGAAAACAAATAAGGTTAAAGCACTTAAAGGTTTCATTAGATTCCTCTTAGGCAGCTACATCTGCTTTTACTTTCTCAGAGGTTTCTTAAATGTTGACATTATTTAAAAACAACAGAAGACTCCCACACCGTCTGTTTTTAATTCACATGTGGAGAATCTCAGCAACTCAGCCATCATCTTAAGCCTTCTGGTGCTGTTGTGTAAAGAACATTTTTTTCCATTGTTAATTTTTAAGAACAGTAATTCTTTCCTGTTAGCTACTCACTGACTGTAATTTCATGACAATGTAGAAACTTTCTCCTCTGTTTCACTTTCAAAGTCTGAGCTGGCATAGCAACATATAATTCCGAGCATTATAACGATTTTAGCATTGACTCTGAATCACAGTTTGGAAGCTCAGAAACCAAATTTCATGGCGATCCAAACGGCAGCTGTTCATACAGTTCACTGAAGGTTTTCAGCCAAATGCAGCATAAAACCAAAGAGGCTCACCAAAGCCTATAGATGGATCTGTTTACATTTTGTCGTATTCTGTCAAAGCTGTTGAAATATTTCAATCATGGCCAAAATCTTTTAACTTATTGATTTACTGACAGTCTGACACCGTATTTTCATACTTCTTAAACATTAGGGAGTAAGCTGTAGAGCAGCAGTAACACAGTGACTTTTACCTTCTGCTCCTAGGTTCTGTTGGTGGATGATGATGCTGCTGTAAGGAAAGTTATAGCTGCTGCTGATCAGGTTTTGGAGTGTCTCTCTGAAGTTGGCTCCTCCTCAGATATCAAGTTTCTTCTTGAATCTTTCCAAATGTTTTCTGAGGCTCTTCTCCTCTTTAACAGACTGACAATGGAGAGAGCAAATTCCTTACGGGATCCCAGACAAACCAAACAACTCCTCGATTCCTTGGACACCCTGAGGAGGTGCATCTCCATGCTGCACACAGCCATGTGTACAACCATCAAACACCCTACCAATGAGCAAGCCCGAGAAGCCAAGAGGTACATTCTGGACAAAGTTCAGAATACTGTTGGTGACATTACAGCAACTCTCCAGAGTGACTGCCATGGAGGACCACTGGGGCCTTGTGGGTATTATACCTGGAAAAGTAAAAGTCTATTACAACTGCTCACTAGTCCCTCCACCTCCTCAATCCGAGACAGCAGCTTTGACTGCTTGGTCAGAGATCTTGTGTTTCACTGCATGGTCGTGGCAAACATGTCTCGCAGAGACTTTCAGCAAAGAGTGGTTTTCCACTGTCGTCACATCCTGCAGTTCTGGTCTGACATAAAAAGGCTTTTAAAGTCTTCTGAGGATTCTACACAGAGCTTTGAGAAGACCTGCACTTTCCTGCTCCAGCAAATACTAATGCTTGACAAAACTTTGATGACTACAGTTCTGTATCAAGTCATGGACACACTTCTTGTGGCTTCCTCCACAGCTGAGCAACTTTTAGGACACATCTTGGTTTTAGATTCCTCTACAAAGCTGGATCTGAACTTTATTCAGTCAGAAGTTGAGGATTTAATTTCCTGCACTGACAGACTAATCCAGGTCGCCAATTTTACCTCAGCTATGGCTCTCGATGCTAAGAGTTTAGAGAATGTGGAAAATTCCCGAGCATGCCTTTCGAGACTCAGGGCTCGAATCGCTCCCCTTTCGCTGGACCTGGCAGATAATTCAATGCAAACTGCTCAGAAGCTTCATGAAGTGTGTCAGAAATGGGAAGAGGAGACTGAGCAGCTTCAGGATGCTTTCAGTGATGTGATGGACATTAGGGAGTTCACCAGTATAGCTGTTAATGAGATGGTGAGTGATCGCCATGGATGTGACACAGCATACAGAGAACAAAGCTATGAACAGTTTAATGAACATGCAGCAAACCTGATTGGTCACATGAAGCTGGCGATTCACTCAGTGAGGAGGCATTTGGATAGAAGTGACGAACCCATCTACAGGAACGGCCTTTTGGTCCTTCTGAAGCAGGTTCAGTCATCTCAAGCCAAAGTAGCTGAGTCAGTCAGAGGCATGCTTAATGGATCCACGCTGAACGTGGAGGCATATTCTACATTTAGTGACAGCGTTTCCACCGTCATTGAGCATTTTAAGGTGCTTAGATCAGGATTGGATGGCCAACAGCATCCGCATCTCCTGAGCCCGCTGCGAGAGGGAGTTCGTCAGCTCGAAATCACACAGCCATGTCTGCCAGTCAAAGACAGCTGTGAACTGAGTGTGGACGATATGTTAAGAGGCTCGGATATTCCTTTTTTTGAAGTTTTGGAAAGAGAAACCAAACATGAGGAGAAGCACACAGATCAGGGACCCATAAAAGCCGAACCAGACCATAAAGTTGACAGCGATGATTTAACGTTCCCAGCTGTCTCAGATGAGCCTAAACTGATTCTCAAGCCTCTCAAATTTGACCTTTTACCCCTCTTGTATGAAGTTGTAACTGTGACTAAAGGGAAAGACGTGACACTGCTCAACCAGGCCTGCACCAGTGTTCTTGAGCTGTCAAACTGTTATGCCCAAGCTACAAAGGAAGCCTTGGTCATTGTCGATGCAGTTGACTGTCAGACTTTGGAAATCTTTAGGGCCGAGCTGGTGTCCCTAACTCCACTGCTCGTCCAGACAGCTCAAGAGACGGCGATGAGCTCAGCGATGAGCACGGAGAGCATCTTTAAGCACAGCACACAGTTTTCTGACCTTATTAATAACATTCGAAAGGTTTTGCTGCCAGCAGCTGGGACCTGGTATCACACTGTTTATAATGAGCTGCAAGGGAATCTACCAAATATACCAGCCAGTTCTGCACAGCAACTCAATGAAGCAATGACTTTATGTGCTGACGTGGTCCAACTCTTGACATCGTCAGATTTAACCACACAAAGTGATGGTCAAGAAACATTGAGGGTTTTACACAGCAAGCTTACCAAAGCACAGAACAACACAAGGCAACTGATAGAGTTTTCCTCCACATATGAAGGACAGTCAGATCAGCTAGAGGCACTTTGTATCCTCTGGAGTCTCTCCGTTCAGATTTTACTTAATTCTCTGGATAAGATTTTGGGAACATCGACTGCACTGAACCATTTGAACCCTCAGAAACAGCTCTCAGTGTTGTCTGAGAACTCGCTCCGAATCCAAGAGGCAACCAGGCTCACAAGCATAAACTGCAGAAGTGCTTATAAATCAAAGGAGTTAACCGGATACCAGGATGAACTGAAAAATCTGACTGAGGACTACCTTAAAACTGCAGAAGAATCTGATTTAATGCCAGGCGTGGTGCACCTTGCAAAATCAGAATTCTTCCAGAGAAAACTTTTGATTAAAATTCGAGTGCTTTTTGGTCATTTAAGCAAAGTGAATAAGGACTACGATACTACATTTCAAAATCTTCTCACAATTGCTCATTTCGCTGCTGAACACTTCAGAGAGAACAACACAGAAGATGCGGAGAAAAAGTTTGAACATGCGACACAAACGCTTATTGAAAATGTAAAATCTGCTACAAGAAGAGTGGAGGACAGCTTAAATTACATCCATGACCCACGCGCTCGCTCCAATCTGAGGTCCATTAATGACCACCTGTCTTTTCAGATCTCAGATATAATCTGCAGGGCGAGGCTCATGCTAGAGACTCACTACATTTGTGACACACTCAGTCTGGATGTGCAGATACGCTGTTGGTCAGCAAAAGCTCATTACGTGGTGGAAGAGATCAGGAAGCAAGAAGGGATTCACCAAGAGGTTAAAGAGTACATAACGGCTGGACTACAGGGGAGAGCACCTGAGGATATTAGCAAAGTTTTGGCTAAAATCCCAACTAAAGTCAAAGAAGTGGAATTTACCTCTGACACAACAATAAATTCAAACCAGAAAGGCATTAAAGAAAATGTAGATACTGCAAAAAGTAACATAAATATGGCATCTGGGGCCAAATATGGACCTAGAAATACTAAAAAAGATGTAAATATTGCATAATTGATCAGATTTTATTGTGTAATAAATCCATCATGTTGCAATAAACCATGTCCTAATTCTTCTCTGCAGGATAGTGCTGCATCTGGCTTGTGCCAAGAAGTCTCTTCCCTGACCTACACCTCCCTTTTTCTAAAGCAAGAAAGCAACAGCTGGGATCCCAAGGACAACAGAATCATCCAGGTGACCAGGAAGATGGCCGACACAATATGTTACATGACTCAGTATCTGAAGAAGAAAGGCCCAATAGCGGTAATGCCCACTAAAAGTCCCTCCACAACCGTCAACTAGATTTGCAGGCACACTAATCTACAATCTTTGTTTCTTTTTCTTTAGAATAAAGAGGCTTTTGTTTCTGCAGCCAAAGATGTGATCTCAAACTGCCAGTCAGTTACCCAGTTTATCAGAGTTATTGCCAACCACAGCCTCGACAAGCAGTGTGCAGTTGAACTCTCGCTAATTGTTGAGCAGATTCTCACCATTACAAATCAGCTCAGCATCATTTCCAGGTCAGGAAATTTTAAGCAGAAATCACACACTGAAAACTAAAAAAAAAGAAAGGTAATATGAGTATTTTCTTCTGCCTGCAAAGTGTCAATGCTGTGACTCCTGGGTGCAAATCTTCTGATGAGATCCTGGTAAAGAATGCACAAAATCTGCTCCAGACAGTCTTACGTGGGGTTCGAGCTGCAGAAACAGCATGCATTAAAGTAAATCCAACACCACAACCACAAGCAGCAACTCTGGACTACAAATATATGATTCAGTGGCATCTTTTTATTATGCCCTATGAATTGCTTCCTTAAAACTGAACACTTGCACTCTGATTTCAGGGTCTGAAGCAGCCTGAGCCAAATTCGGATGGTGCAGAGGCTACAGCTTTGTGTTTCCAGTGGAAGAGAAACCTGGAGATCCATCGAGCCCAGCAGACCTCTAACCCAGATACAGATGAGCTGGGACTGAGGAAGACGTCAGCGCACCCTTTAGCCCCAAGTCTTGCCCCACATATTAATGTATAAGACAGCTACAACTGTATCTTGAAAAGGGAGAAAATAATTCATAAAAATAATGTTTCATGCATAAGCTGTGTGTCCTGCTCCGAGAAATCAGCTGCATGAATTGTATTAGAGCTGGTGGTTAAAAAAAATGCACAGCACGCACACTAAAATGACACATTGCAACACTGGCGTGTGGTTCTGAAATAAAACTGGTGCTGTTTCCTGTCTTTATTCCAGATATTTGTAACAAACTCACTGAAACAACTGGCATGTGTTGTAAAAATATCAGACAATATTATGACAACCATAACCACCATACCGACCCACGCTGACATAAAAAAACACCCCAAAACACACTGTACACATGATACAAAATAAGCATTTACAATGTGAATCATGAAAAGAACTTTAAAAAAAAAAAAAAAGGAAATAGCTTAGTTTCAGTCAAACAGGAATACCTCAAATTACAGACGGAGAACTATGACCTAAACAAACCAATATTACCAAACAATATTCCATCTTACTTCTACAACTTTCACTCTTTGTAGCACATGTATATTTATAGCCTCTTTTAGATTCATATTCGACAAAATTCAACAGTAAAAATAGTCATCAAGGTCACATTTGTAACATATATACATACACAACTGCAGTGTTATTAAGATAGTACTACTTTTCTGTATAATACACTGGAAAACTTTATCGATTTCTTATGCTGACTGACAGCGTGTTGTAAAACACGTAACATTTTCCCTGCTACTTACAAGCTTCTTCGAGAGATGTGAGGAGCAGCGATGTTTGTTAGAAAAGGTTAAAACATCCTCAAAAGATTCAGACCGCCTGAAACAAAAAACAATGTAATCACTAAAGACGGAAGTTGTCTATTTTAGTGCAAAGACTTCTGCAAGCTAGTTTAGGTGTAGAGTTTCAAAAGTGTGAAAAGGGAAAATTAGACTAATCGAAAACTCACATTGAAAATATTCAATTTTGATTATAACGCATCAGCAACTGAAAAAAGACAAATGTAAATGGTTTAAAAAAAATCCCTTATCATAAAGACAGGCATCAACATATACTGTAGATCTCAATATATGAAAGTGTCCGTGAATAAATATGTAAATACAAAAATCCTCCCCCCCCTGGGAAATTATTGTGTTTTTGATTACTTAGTATAATCTCTCTGCGTGGAAAGTCAAATAAACTATCAGGTCGTTCAATGGAACGAGCCCCAAGCTGACTTAACAACACCTGGGTCAGGCTTTAGTAAAACTTTCACATCTTTTTATTTCCTCTGATTGTTTAGAACGTGTGTAAAAATGACACAATAGAAACCTTACCATACACACATTCAAAACACGCCTCTGAGCTTTAATATGACATAGTTACAGGGAACTCTACTCTGTGTCTGTATCCAGCATCATCTCCTTACTGATAAATGTGTGGCGTAGTGTTTGGTTTTCTACAGCATCATATAAAGAAATAAATAGATTTATGTAAAGCTAAATAAAGATTAATGTGTCATCAACAAACATATCTGTTGCAATCAACAGTTGAGTGTTTACTGACAGAAAGGGGAAGCAGTGGGGTCAAAAGTCTTGAACACATCTTTAAGTGTCCTGTCATCTGCCTCCTCCTCTTCCTCCTCCTCTGGATCTTCTTGTTTCGGTTCTTTCTCTGGAGCCGCCTCCTCTTCCTGCTCCTTCTTGTCCTCTGCCTCTTCCTGTGCTCCTGTAGAGCCCTGTCCTCCCTGTTTAGCTTGCCTCGGGTCAGTGTACTGGGGTCGGATTAGCCCAGCCAGAGCCTGGATGGGGAGATTATGTACAGCAGGGGGTTTGACAGGCGAGGCAGGAGGCACAGTGGGAGAAGTGGAAGCTGGAGTGTGATCTGCAGCATCTGTGCTTTTAGCCTCTTCGAACGAGCCGCTTCGTTGGGTTGGTGATAGTGACGGTGCTGGAGTGCTGTCTTTCTTAGCAGCCTGTTTAAGAATCCCCGCCTTTTTAGGAGGCTCAAACTGCTCCTTCTGAACTTGCTCGGTTTGGGAACGAGGATCATACAGGCTGATGCCTCCCAGGATCGTAGTGGGACTCTCCAACCCTCCACCAGAGGACGCCAGTCGAGGAGCATAAGGTGGAAGTTTCTCTGGCTCTGGCTTGGCTCGGGCAGCGTGAGGAGAGGGACTGGCACTGGCCTTCTGTAACCTGGGGTCCAAAAGTCCTGCCCCAGAGGACTGCTCTTTCGGACCCAGCAGCTTGGAGTCCAGACTGGCTGTACGTTTGAGTCTGGGATCCAAAGACTTTTGCTGGCGTGGGTCTACAGGTCTCTCTGTAGAAGATCGTGACTCTAGAGAACCAGTGGGCAGTCGGCTCATACGTTCCTTCAAACGTGCAGCTGCAAGTCTGGGATCAGATAGCGGAGGACTGGAGACTGGGGGGTGGTCGGGCAGGCTTGTTCGGTTCATCTGAGCATCAGCAATTAGAGGTGGAAGAGGCAGGTTGATGGAGTGTTCCTGTTTGGGCACTAAGGAGGGGATGAGATCCTCAGGGGCCCACACAACTGTCTGAGCAAAGGCAGGCCGCTGGAGCAGAATGTCAACACGAATATGACTAAACTGCTTTAACTGGCATCGAGGGTCTCTCAGGACCACACCTGGGCTGGCATCTAAAGGAATGAGAACAGCCCTGTCCCTGAGTTCCCTCTCTCCTTCGTCATCCTCCTCTCCTGTAAGAGGCTTTTGATGAACAGGATGGCTCTGCTGCCGATATGAGCTCGGTTCCACTGGTCTCATTTTCCTGGGGTCTCTGGAAAGCCGCGGATCCGAAGCGCCATCTGGCTCCTTTTTCATATCTGGGGGTCGCTGTCTAGGGTCAGCCTTGACACGTGGGTCACTGGGTGGAGCCCTTTCCTTAACGAGGCGGGGGTCACCCAGTGCTGGAGCCACCGGGGCGGTCTTGGGCTGAGACTGCTGCATCTCATTCTGTCTCTTCAGAGATTTAAGAATGGAGGAAACACAGCTCCCATCCTCATCATCGCTCGAGTACCAGTTTGTAGTTTCATCTGCAAAAAAACATGAATAAACAAATAAATCAGATTTAAAGGAGAGTCTTTTTTTCTGTTTCAAATATCTTTTATTAGAAGCAAGTATCACAGTTGTTACAAGTTAATAGAACGTATGCCCCCTTTTTCTCTAAAC